TTTACTTGTTATACCAAAGTTTGTCACAGTGGCATCAGTTTCATAATTGTTTTTAATTTTCGAAAATAAATAATGTAGCTCAAAACATAAATTACATTTTAATTAATTAATTGCTGGTGACTGCACGAATGGTTGTAAGACTGCAGACGCAAACACACACACACACATATATATATGTATATATATAATTATTGAGGTCATAGGCGTTGCATATCAGGCAGCGAAGAGCTCAATAACCTCTCTGTGCGCCGCAAGTTGTCGTTAAATCGCGTTGTTGTTGCTGTTTTTTTGTTTTTATTTCTTCGATACTTATTTAAGAGCGATTTGGCTAAAGGTGAACTATTTTTGCAGCGCCTGACCAATATTTTATTATTATGTCTATAATTAACAGTGGGCGATATTTAAAGCTAGTACTTAGAAGCTTATACCAAATTATAATCGACTATATTTGTTATTTGTGCTGCAGAAAGAAACTCAGGGCTGTTCTCATTTGCGATATCGCCTTAGCATTATAATTGCATCTGAAGTTATTCTTTGGACTTTGGCTGCAACTTTGGACTGCATAAATGTAAAGAGAGTTTGAGTTCGGTTGTAGTTGGTTGCTTTAAGGGCAAATATCGTCATACATCATTTTTTAGAACCTTTTGTTGATTCGTCGGCTTTCAAACTCTGTGAAAAGCCATAATTTTTAAAGCGACGGGGAGCAGAGTCGCCAGCCTGGGATCTATGTTGAAAAGTAAAACTTTGATGATTGTTTTTTTTTTTATAAAAAAAACATCGATATATTGATGTTAACATCGATATTTGACACAGCTTTACACAATATGTAAATGTTTGTCCTTTTATTTTCGAGTTTAAGAAAGATAATTTGACGCTTTGACTAGACATTCTGATCGTTAATGTATATAACATAATGAAAAAAGTTTTCTTTATAATAACTTGTTCCTCACATTTTGGTAAAAGAATTCAAATGTCTGTTCATTTTGGAATTTAAATGAAAATTATTTTTTATTTCTACCACTGTGCTAGTAGGGGCGTCAGTGAGTTGCTCAAAAATGTAATCAGTTGCTGTTGCCTCCTATTGCTTGGCCATGCACACATGGTTCCGTGCCATTGAACTTTGTAATCTGGCAAGATCCTATGCAAAGAGCTGGGCAGCACTAGCACTGATAATTGTATTTGCATACGCTTTGATGGAAATAAGTTGTAATGCAGGACAGCATTGCCAGCACTGTCGCAGGGAATATCAGACGCTCGATGGCCTGGCTGTTAACGTCCTGTCAAAACAATTTAACGATAATAATGTAACAACATTTTCGTGAGTCACTTTGGCTGACAGCGCTTGACTGATCAACCAACCATTTCTCGTTAGCAACGCCCAACACAGCTTTATGTCACCCATCTGTTAGGCTAGTGGTTAAATCTTATCGATTTGTTTGACAGGCGTTGCTTACCAGCGCGCAACTTGTTCACCTTTCCGTCTGGGCCGTGCCCTGTAAAGCTTTAAGTTCAAGCATGACTGGCATCTAATTTAATTAGATGAAATTTTCACACTACTGGGTTTTCTTCGTTCGTTCCCGCTGCTGCTGCTGCTGCTTTATTTTATTTTTACTTTCCCCAGCAGTTTCAAAAACAGCTAAAGCTTCAATATGGCACAGCATGTTTGCACGTGTCATCAACTTGCGCCCCCTAAAACACACACACATACACACACTTCTTGGCAAGCACTTTGGCAGCAAGGTACTGGGTACTGTAAATTGCAGCAACAGCATTTCCTACATTCACACATACATACATACGTATGTATGGACATAAATACTTACATACATACACATCCACCCACTATATAACAGCAGAAGCAGTACATACTTATCAACAATTGATTTCCGTTTTTATGCACACTTTATTTAATTTCTTTTGCGAGACATTAAAACACATACATACATGCACGTATAAGAGGAGACAGGCTGGCAGGAAAGACAGCAGATGGATTGACAGACACGCCGACAGGCAGGCAGTTAGAGCAAGGCGCATGGCCATTAAATACACAATACTTGGCAGCACTTTTGCCTTGGTTGGTAACACGCAGCAACACCAACAACAACCTCAGTAGCAGTAGCAGCATTACAACAATATGTGAAGCTGCGGGTAGATTCGGGTGAATTCCAAAGAAGTTTTAATAGATTTAATTATAAATTTTAGCAATATGTACTTGTAAAATTCAAAAATTAAAAGAAAGCAATGGTGTGCAAATTATTGCCAACCTGACCATAGCATTCCACATGCTCATCTCAACAACAACAACCATAGCAGAAGGATCTCGTGCGGTGGCTGCTGTGTCCACATCCAGTCGTAATTGTTGTTGTGGTAGTTGTTGTTGCTAATCGTCCACATCTTGTGCTTTTACTTTAAGTAATGCGTGCAGCCACCCACTCTCACACTCTCGCACATACACAAATCGACATTGACAGCTGTCGTCAACTTGATGACGTCATGTGCTGTAGACTTATACTACTATTTATGTAGGTACATACATATGTCTATATGTGCGTATAGTATGTACATATGTATGTGTATATAAGTCATCATTGTGCGCTGGTTTGCTTTTTATTTCTTTATGTACACTTTTACATTCACATTCTTTTTGCTAAATCCGCAATTTGTCCTTGTTTTTATGACCCAGCTGCTGGTTTTTCTTCTATTTTCTCGTTCACTTTTCATCAACGTTTGTATTATTGAAGCTACTTTTGTGAGAGTCGTTATTTGTTGTTGTTGCTGCCTCACGCAACTTTGGCTTTTGCGGTCGACAGGCCACAGCGGCAGAGACTCGGGCAGGTGGCAACACCGCCTGTTACAGTTACATTTCATTTCGTTTCGTCTTGCTGGTTGCCCGTCCTATTGTTGTTGTTCTTGTTGCTAGGTTAGCAAAAATTTAGGTTACACATAGTTTTATGACAACTGCCTTACCGTCCACCCAGCGCCACCTCCTCCGCCACCTCATGCTATTAAATAATAATAGTAATATAAAAAGTTTGTTGTATGTTTGCGCCTTCTTGTGTGTTGGTTGGTAACAATATATGTATGTACATACATATGTACATATTCGCATTCATACATACTTGAATATAAGCAGTCAGTGTCGGCGTTGACGTCGACGCCTGCGTCGACAACGATGGGGTTTTTACTATGTGGCTCAAGTGGCGTGTACAATTTTTAACATAAATTTTCATACATACATACATATATATGTATTTTGTTATTGTTTTGTTTTGTTACAACTTCTATCCCATAATGTGTGTTCTTCTGGTTGTATCTAAAAGCTAGGTACAAATTGTTAGATAAACATGTGCTACACTAACACTACAGTAATTATCTAAAAGTAGCGTGTGTGTGTGTGAGTAGAGCGACAAAACTTACGTTGAGCGCCCGCCACAATTATTCATTACCCATGACTTATACTCTTTATCAACAGGCGCGTTGCATTTTGTGTGAATTTGTGCTTGGTTTTGTGTTTTTTATGGCCACATTTTGTCTTTTCCGTCACATTTAACAAGCCCACAGGCTGGCGCTGTTAAAGTTAACCGCTGCTGCTTACAACATAAATTAAAGTTACATATAAATCACATCCATGATATTTTACAATAAATGTGAATTATGCTTTATGTTTAATCTTTAAATTGTGGCTACACATACATACATATGTATATACATATGTATATGTATTCATCTGTATGACTCATTGCAGAAGATTCAATTGTTGGTTATACCAAGACGCAACATAAACTGTAAACTAACAGACAAGTTAACAGTGCTCAACGATCATGCGGCCGGCAACACGTACATGTACACACACACATCCTTGCATGGATAGGTTTGTACGTATATGTATGTGTATATGATAAGATAGTATGTGTGTGTGTTTGACAGGTGCGTTTTGTTTGTGTAATGAGTTTGTTATATTTTTTTTCCGCTCTGACGCATGTGCATACACGAGCATAGAATATGAAGAATACAAAATCAAACACTCACATACACTCACGTACGCCGCTCACTTAATAATGCGGCAACAACAACTACAACTTATTCATCATTATTATCAACAAAATGTCGTTCGCTCTCACATTTACACTCCTGCTTCTGCTGCGGCTCTTTATCTCTTGGTCCGTTTCCCCCCTGCGGAGGGAACACTTAACACGACGGCAGCGTAGCAGCAGTAACAACAATAATTACTAATACAAAATTTGCCGCATTTTTATTTTCACACGCTCACAATAATTACAGCACGTGCAGTATATATAGTGACACATACACAAAAAGAACATCTCATTTATAAAAACTTTGTATTAAAAATAACTGCTATTAACAAGAAATTAAGCAGTTGCCAAAGATATTGCAGTTACTCTCTATTTTTTTTAACGGTTCAAGTTAAAAATCTTAACTGTTTTGAAATTTCAATTTAAAATAATAATCAAATATAATAGAATTGTAATTGAATCTAGAATTTTAACACAACTGTTCTGCTTTAAGCCAGTGAATAAGATTAGTGATCGAGTTCGCTAAATTCAGCTTATGTTCAACTAAGCACCTTTTTATTCAAATGAGCGAATCATATTTATATGTACACAAATATAAATTAAAAAACAATCCGTTTTTCATAAAATATCATATACTTCTGCGTATGCATGAACCGGACCTATAATTTTCTCACAGAGTGTGTAAACAGCAGCAGGAGCACACAAGTGTTTTTTTTTTCTTCCATCGTATCTGTTAACTAAATGACTGCGCTCACGAAACTCGCTGCTCCTCGCTCATTCGCTGACTCGCTGGTTTGTTGTTCGTTTATTCGTGAAGAACTCGTAGTCGTCGCATATTCGACAGATACAGATACTCGACAGAGTGCGTTCGTTCGTTGTTGCTGCTGCTGCTGAGTAGGTTGCTTTTGTGCTCAGTTCGTTTTCGATCGTTTGCCATAGCAGTTGTTTAATTTCTGCTTGTTGTACGCCGCTGTCGCTGCCGTTCGGTGTGTTCGCATACAAGAAGGAAAAAATTTGTTTTTTTGCAACGGTCGGTCGCGCGGCGCGCTGCGGGTGTGCTGTTGCTGCATACACACGTACATGCATACATATATGTATAAATACTAACATACTTATAGATAATTCTGTTGCTGCTGCTGTTGGGGCTGTGTGTGCGTGTTAATTGTTTTTATCGTTGTGACGTTTTTCTGCTTTAAAAAATAATTATTTGTGTGTTCGTTGCTCCAGTTTATGGAAAGTTGAAGGCACGCGTTTTTTAAGCTGTATTATGTGAATTGATGATTGTGATTGAACAATATTGTTTTCCTATTGCATTTCAGTGTAATTTTTAGTGATATTTAGCCGGAGTTGCTTTGCAGTCCTTTGTCTTTCAGCTCAACACCCACACTCACACTCTCGGCTCGGCAATCTTCACATCTAATTGTGTCTGGCAATGCCTTGGTGCAATGATGGCAATGCGCTGAACTGCAGCCGAGTGCTGCCAAGTGATGTAGTCGTTTAAATAAAACTGTGCATGAAGGAAAAAGATTATTTTCCATATTTTAACTGGCGGTGCTCACCTGGAAAATTATATTATTTATAACAAACACACATGTATGCTCATAGTTTAGTTTCCCTCGGCCAAACTCTCTCTGACACACACACTCACACACATATGCTCACACACACAGACAAACTTGAGCCTCGCAGCTGTGTATCTTTTGATTTGAGTTTGAGTCAGCTGGCTTTTCCGCTGCTGTTGCCGCTGTCGACGCTGGCGTCTGCGTTATTATTTCTACTTAACGAGTTTTAAGCATATTCTTAGCTCGCTCACTCACACTATATTGTCACTTAGCGCACTTCTTGCACATTTGTTTATTGTTGCTGCCGTTGCCATTGCCGCTGTTTCTGTTGCTGTCTGTTGGTGTTTGTACACCGGCAACATAAACTGGTTTTTCGAGTTATTTATGACTTTTTTTCTCAAATTTATTTTGCCTGCCTTTTTGGTGCTGTATTCCTATCTCAACATGTGTGTGTGCTCTGCTCTGTAGTCTTCAGACTTTTGACCTGCAAAAACTGTAAAAAAGGCAGAGTCTCGGCAGATCAACTTGCGTTGTGTGAGCAACGACGTGTGGTGCATCATTCTTTCATTCTTTTTATAAACCCTGTGCCCAAAGGGTTAATGGGGCCACTGTCTGTTTGTCCGTATGGGCCCCAACATATTTTGAACCCTAACAACTAAAGAGAAAAACTTTGTATCTAGACTTGTCATATCCATTTGCAATAAATAGGTGCTGCAGCTTTAATTTCGTAATGTTGCGAAAGTTGCAACATCAATATGTAGAACCTTTTGCAGCTTTCCACACATTCATACACACACTCCCCCAACCGATCAACGGATGTAGTGAATTAAAGCATAACTCACTCAAACTCTGTCTCTAAATAACAGCACTGTGCTTAATGCCTAGTTGAGCTTTAATTGACAGCAGCGAAGCCGCGCAAAACAAAAGCAAAGAGTGAGAGAGAAATGCCTTAAACATGTTTAAACATGCGGTTGCTGTATATGTATCTACTTGTATATCTAGTGTTGTTATTGTTGCCGATGTGTAAAATAGAAAGCGCGTTGGCGTTAAATAATCGACGGCTTTTAAATTGTTTTAATTTAACGCAGCAGCAACGCCACAATAATACAAAAAAAAAAAGTGAAGTGCAACAACAGTGGTTAAAAATTGAAAAGCGAAATTTTTATCTCATGCTTAATTTTTTGTTGTTTGCAGCAAGCAAACATACACAACCAACATAAAAGGAAAGGCAAACACAATATAAAGAGTGTGTGGCCTTCAGTGTTCAGTTTAAAAATAAAGAAGTAAAAAAAGTTTATAAGACAACACACATACAGCAGTCTACGTTTCAAGTACAAAGCCCTACAACAAGAAAACGGCTCCAACTGAACGACCAACAACAGCTGCTAACAGTTTGTGAAGCACTGCACATTCCCTGCTGCTTGTTCCCCCACGTAGTCAACAACGCATGAGGAGGTCAAATAGCACTGCTGCTGCACCTTTCATAAAACACCAAGCGCCGCGGAGTTTTCTGGTTAGTAGTTGCCCATTACAAATCATTTGACGAAGAGAGCTATCTGGAAGAGAGAAGTAGAAATGCAAACAGACAGATTGCTGCTGTAATTGTAACAGAGCATTGTTGTTGTTGATTTTAAATTGGCTGCACTTTTCTTACTCTTTCTCAACTAATAACTGTAACAGTGAATGTACGAGTATGCAAACTGTAGTATTTAAACAAATCGACGGGATTTTCAACAATTGCCTTAAGTATATTAAATCGAAGAAACAAAACAGTCAAACATAGAATAATTAAATAAGGCAGCTGAAGCTTAAGCAAATAAAAACGCTTAAAAAACTTTTGTAACTTTGTTGATAAGGCCGATAAATATTCAACCTTCACTCTCAGTTGCCACCTACAAGCAGACATGATTAAAGAAAAATAAAAAAAATAAATTAATTGCAGCTAGTAAAAAATGCACACGACTTTGACCTCAAAAAAAAGCAGAAAAAATCAGACGCAATGTATGAATAAAATGCGACTACTGCCTCAGCCAACGCACGTGATTTTTTTCAATGTCGTGCGGGGCTGTGAAGACTCAGATAAACACCCACCATTCGCTTGCCCACCACCCACAAAAACCGGAAGGAAGGAAACTAGCGTAAAAGTAGTGCAGAGGGTGAACTGCAGAGGGGCTGCTTGCACTAACGAGCCAATAGGTTGACTGTGCAGGAAGAAAACACTCGAAAGCAAATTACCGACAATTTCTCAAACACCGTCCCACAGCATACATACATACATATGTATGTATGCATATATTTGAGGCCCATACAAACAAACATATATACATATGTACATACACAGTACAAAGTAAAAGTGCTATACACAATTGGCTGGGCGGTCGTTTTTTGTTGCTGCAGATACATAGTTGATAGCATTTGACCTCTAAAGCCATTTGCATAGCGTTTAGCTTATGCACGTGTGCGGCGTCATAGCTGCCCTTGCCTCTATGCTTGTGTATGTGTGTGTGTTTGAGTTTGAGTGCAACAATGACTAAACTAATTAAAGCTTCAGAGATAGACGAAGAGACAGACAAATATAGTAGATGATGGGCGCACACCTCAAATACATATTCAATGTTAATCTAACATGCAAAGGTCAATCGGCCATTGAAGCGCCGATAAACACCCCCACTCTCTCATAAATATAGGATGCAGCTGCTGCTGGGCGTTGCCGTCATTGACGGTGTGACGTTTAACAACAGAAAACAAATCCTACCCCATTCTAACCAGTGTTACCAATATAACTTGTTTACAGACAGCTCTGGAGTTTCTGGCTTTTCTACAAAGAATGATACAAAATGTTGTTTGCCTGCAATATGATTTAAAAGGAGATATTAACTCAAACTCTCATAAAACCTAATACATTTGTACACATATTTTGATATTTGAGGTCGCAGAATAAATAATGTTCTTCAAGAAGACCTGTTGGAACAAACTGATTTGTTTAGCTAATTTTAGCTTTATAGCAATTGCTAGTGTTTTTAATTATTGTCAGCACTGACTGAATCTAACGTTGCAGTTTTCGCATTCATAGTTTGTTGCCCATTCTTTTGCTCTGTAGCTTACTTGCTCTCTTGCCGGCGACGCGCCGCTCTCACTTAGCTACTACACTCGTATCTTTGTTTGTGATTACTTTGACGTGCCATTTGTGAGTTTGTCTCGAATCATTAGTATACCCTACACCCATGAATAGTAGTCTAGTAGAAAGTCGAAGTGCATTTTTGGGTATGTAACAGGCGTGTTGTGTGAAAGATCAGCATGAGGACAAAAAAATCATGTCCGTCTGTCCGTATGAGCGTCCAAAACTGTTGAAGTACGGCTAACAAATACAGGCACAGGGTATTCACTAGCCTGGCTGGCGCGACTTTAGCGTTCCACTCGTTTTGTTTGTTCTTCTACGCGCAGTCCGGTGGCTAATCAGCGCCCGCTTATCTCTCCAACTTGTTCACTTGCCTGTGCATTGTGTGTAAGGCCGTGATGACGAGAATAGCGAGAAACAACAATGTAGCACACATGCATGCATGCACACATATACATATTATGTGTATGTGTGTGTGTGCTTATCGCGTTGCTTGTTGCCTTTTCTATCACAAATGCTGATTATGGTGAATAGAGGCTATGGCAGCCGGTGTGTGTACATGCATATGCACATACATATACATACGTATTATGTAAAACTTGTATGATGCTTGGGGTTGTGTTGGTGTGTTTTTGTTTTGTTGTATTGTGCTGTCATCTTACAAGCTATAAAAATGCCTTTGAAATGGATATGGCAATTCAATTAAAATCAAACGAAATGCTCAACGCAACACCAATAACAACAATAACAGCGAAGAAACATCAAGAATGCGCATTTGCTGACATATGTACATATGTATGTATCTATACATGCCATTTTATTTATTTACTTTTTATATGTCGTTTAAAAAGAAGGCAGCTTCTGTTGTTTTTTCAAAATTTTCAAAATGTAAATACTTTGTCACAAAACTTACAGTATGTAAGCCCTTTTATCAGTCAATTGCAATTAAAACTATATACACATAATTCTGTTTTTACACCGAAACAACCGGGTAAAGAAAGACATTGATTATATGCAAAAATGGATAGATAAGGATCCATTTGAAATATATATGCAATTTCAAAATCGTGTAAAAAAGACCGTTTAAAAACAGAATTAGCTGTATATAGTTAAATCAAGCTTAAATCAAAAAAATGTCAAACAATCTAATTTTTAGCCAAATAAAACTGAAAGTAGTGTCCCTGCGAAAACGTTAGTATTATGAATATAGAAGTATTTTGGGTCGAAGTGTTGTATGTACTGTTGTATGTAACTGTATATTTAACGTAATTCTTTAACGTGATTCTTTAATAATTGAAAATAATTTTTTTATTTAAATAATTTTTATTCTATGAATTTTTTTTTTAAGTTTGTAAACTATTTTTAATTTTTATTTAACTTAAGTTATATTTTTTAATATGTATACTTTTTGCTCAGATCTTTCTTAATTTCTTTATACCCTTCAGAAAGCATAGGCCTCGCTGTTAAAGCTTTCCATAAAAATAATAAGTAAGCCATATATGTATGTATCTATGTACATATGTATGCATATCCCATGGTAATATTGTCGAGAATAGTATTTATTGCCAAGTCGTTTTGCATTTTTTTTTGCATTATTGAAATTCAATTGCTTAACGATGAAATTCTCCGTGTATTTCTGTGTTTTTGCGTCCATCTAAAAATAGAAAAGAGGCAATGGAATTTGTTATTCAAAGGAGAGGAGACGGGCATTAAATGTTGAATACGCTATCGGCGCCTTTCTAAACGCGTCATCATACCCAGAAGCCTCTATAATTGTTGTTGTTGCTTGTCGTTGCCGTCGCCGTCGCCCTCGTCTGTCTGCGATTCCCGCCTACATTGGCATGTCTTATCACTAATTTCATTTATCAGAAGCGCTTATTGTGTTTTTCTTGTCTTTTGAGCTTTATGTGATTTCTGTTCTTTTATTTATTTATTTATTCTTAAGCGTCATTTGTTCTATTATGTAATTTGTAAAAAAAAATTCAACTTTTCAAAGGTCGTCTGAAGTTTGTAGATTTATTTTTAAGGTTTCAGAGGCGAGACGCTGATTACTAGATTTCTGCTTTTATTTTATACTATCCAATTAAAAACAAATTGCTAATACACAGATTAGTCATACAAGTGTGTGTGTGTGTGAGAAAGAGAGACTAGGTGTTTGTGGGCAAACTTTTTGACGTGCACACGGTTTTAGAAACATTGCTAAAATTTGTTTTTGCGTTTCACGCTGTGTTTTCCACAAAAATCAATACGTAATGAGGTATGAAATTATGGAAATTAAATTGATTTATCATTTTACAATAACAACAATTTAGCGTACTTTTTCCCTACAGTTGAATTTGTTGTTGTTGTTTTTGAGCAGCTTGACAAATTCTAATTGGGATTTTCCGCTGACCGCTCAACGTCACAACAGTCCAAGCGTCAGTCAATGCCAACAGCAACAACTACAACATCGTTGACAGTACGCCGTACAGTGGATTCAAAGTATGGGAAAGTTGGATGTTGAAGAAATTAACGATGCTGTCTAAGAAATTTGGTTTTCTGTCTTCTTAGATCGTATCAATTATGTTCAGTGAATTAGAAACCACTTTGGTTTTTTTTTTTTAAGTTGTGATAAATTTTCTAATCTTTAACTCTTTTTCAATAAGTGTACTATAGTGTGTGAAAAATGTAATTGAAGTGTGAAACAAACACCATTGATCATGACGTAGTTACATTTTTAAATGAATTTTTTACCCTTAACTATAAAATTGGAGGCGACATTTGCGAAATCCAGGGAATATCAGCAATAGATTCTTGTTTTGTTTTAAATATATTACGAAGATAATTTCGTGTTTAAAAACATTTTTCAAATATAATTAGCACCGGAAACACTCACTTTTTTACCTTTTTTTAAATTTATTATTTATTAATTTATTATTTTTTATTAATGAATAATTAATATTTATTATTATACTTAATTTATTATTATTTTTCATTTATTTTTATTTTTGAAATGAAATGAAATATTTTTAGGTTATTATTTATTTATATCAAATTTTTTTCTTCACACTGTTCATAGGTGAAGCGATTTTAGTCGCCATGTCGAAACCGGCAAATTTTTGAAAGGCAGTTACAGTTATAATGTGTGTACATAAGTACGTTTGTATGTATGTAATTATGTTTGTTGTTCATTTGCGGTTGATTTATTTATCAGAGCCTCCACGCCACAAATACACACACACACACACATAGAGAGACACATACATACATGCATACATAGAAATACTCGCACATGTGAGGTGAAATCAACCACCTTGTGGATAATTTTATTTATAGCCTGCTTAGTTTTTTCCTTATTAATATTTTTTTGTGGCCTAGCTTTATTTTTAATTATTGATTTTGCCTTCGACCATGTG